AAAATGTCTTGGCTTTCAAAATTAAACTTTTTGTCTGTGTTAAATAAGACGATTGATGCTAAAATCAATGAAAGATTGCGAGCGCAGCACACTGACATAGCAACCTGGCAGGAAGAGGTTTCCTCTATATTCACACATTTTTTTCCTGGACATCTGAAAGCTTCCGATTAAATAAAGATCTATAAATACGTCTTTTTTTAACATTATAACCAGTTTGGCTCGGTGAATGAACTGTTTCCACCTGGATGATAAAACATGTTTGTCAAACTCTAGTTTTATGCCTGTGCAGTTTTCACTACAAATACTTTAGTAGTAAAAAATAAAAATAATAAAAAAAAAAAGACATTATTTAGATTGCAGAGCTAAAGGCAGTTCAGGTAACATTAAAACTGTGTTGCATCCTGTGACACAAACCTGTGTATTCTTGCTTTGCTTGACCCTGACTGGCTCTGGCATTAGACCAAAGCAAGGTTACTTTGTTAAATTAAAATTACTGTCAAATGTCAGATGGATCATTTCAATATTTCAAATGCTGTGTAGTTCATTCATGAAATTTGTGTCTAGCAGCATGGATTTTCTCAGCTTCTCATATGTCAGCAATCCCCTCAGTCATCCTCGATCCTAATATGAACAAACATTTAGCTTGGTTACACAAATGCCAGCACAGATTAATCGAAGCTACTCGCCTTTTGAATCCAGACATCTGCACACATCTGTACTTGTGTGTGTGTGTGTGAGTGAGGGTGGTTTCCTGCATGACTGTACTGATCCAGGCTTGTTTGTGTGTCTTACTCCTTGGATGTGCATGTACATGGGTGTCATGTTCATGCACATCAGAATCCACATGTGCATCTGGTTGTTTGTGTGTGTATGAACACACGCACATCTGCCTGTTCTTGTGTGTGTGTGTGTGTGTGTGTGTGTGTGTGTGTTACCTGAGGGCATGTTTCTCCCTTTCGCCTCCATCTCCTCTCCCCCCTGCTGCTGCTGCTGCTGTTCTTCTTCTTCGTCAGTGAAGAGCTCTCCGTAGCCCCGGTCCGAGCCGCCTCCATCCACCGTTTATCCGCTTTCTCGCCCCTTCCTCTTTCCTGGCTCTTCTTCTGCCAGTTCTTTTCTTCCTAATAGTTTCTTTTTAAATCTTCTGCCTTTTCTTCTCGTGCGTTTCCCCCGTCTTCTCCTTTTTACCTTGAGCGCTCCGTCGCTCCTTTTCAGCAAGTAGGGGATACTTCACTTTGCGTCCTCTCTTCTCATTGAATTGTCATGGCAGTCATCTTAGCTACTGAGAGAAGCAAGAAAGAGGTGGAGGGGAGGGGGGGTAAAGAGCAGATGAGAGAGAGAGAGAGTGAGTGAGAGAAAAGACTGAAAGAGAAGGATGGAAGTAAAAGGACAGGAGAAGATGTGGGAGAGAAGGAGATGAGAAGATGAGAGGTGGGGTGGGGAAGATGGGGGATTTGATTAACGAACGTGACATGAGTCTTGAGAGCAGGGGATGCTCCTGTACAGAAACATCTTCCGCACAAACATATTTTCTATATGAGCATCATGTGTCGTTGAAAAACAAACAAACAAATAAACAAACAAACATTCAAAACCTGATGCCGGCAGCAAAAAACAAGCCCCATGTCAAACAAGAGAAGCGGGTTTGCCTCCACACAGAGAGAGAGAGAGAGGGGAGATAAAGCAATAGAAAAGAACAGGCAATGCGAGAGAGCGTGCTCTATTCCATCGCCATGGCAACAGTGAATTCCAAAGTCTACGGTGGAGCTGGCGAGTGTGCGTGTGTGTGTGTACGCGTGTGTTTTATGTGTGTGTTGGTGGAGTAGAGGACTGGATGTAACAGCTGAGAGGATTTTGCTGAGATAAAAAAAAAAGGAAAAAGAAGTCCCTGAATTCCACTGGTGTGCAGACGAGCTGGGATGTCACACACCGTGGAAAGCAACGCACACGTGTAGGTACGCGGCGGTCATACATGACTGCATACAGTACAAGAGGAATGAACATTCACGAGAGAGATGACAGACGTGTGAGTCATTAGCGCAGCGGTCACGGTGTCTCGGCATGTTTCATCCGTCCAACTTTCTTCCCGTTGGTGCGACGGCTTAATCACGCGCGCTTAACACTGTGTCATGTTTTGAAATGCACAATACAGCCGATCCTGAGCGAGGAAAGATGCGATGCCTTGCCCGAGGGCGCTTCGGCAGAGCAGCTGCTTTCCTGCTCGAACTGACATCCTTAGATTTCAACAAGCAGAGTCTTCCTGAAGTGAAAATCCCCATCGGCACTGACACTGGGTCAGGTTTCGCTTCTTTTTTTCCTGCTTTTTTAATGCAAGCTGTTGCCAAAAACTGCAGGGCACCTAAAATCCACATGAGAGACATCTGCAGCAGCACAGCAGGGGATGCTGAGTTGTTTCAAGTCAACAGCACATCTTGAGGCACATCTGACC